TAGTTGGGCTCATAACCAATATAAATACCCTGCATTGATTGTCCTTGCTCTGCAGTCTTAGTTGGGCTCATAACCAATATAAATACCCTGCATTGTTTGTCCTTGCTCTGCAGTCTGACATCTCACTTCATAATACATCCTTGCTAATAATGAGATTTGATATTTATTGTAGTAAAATGGAGTCAAATGTCCATATAAAGATAGAGGAAAGGGACTTGGATGAAATGGAGATGTACAACATCGTTACTGTAGAACCCAGTTGGCCAGAAGATCCTTCTGTCTCTGAGGTGAGTTTGTTCTTGATAAATTATTCAGATAAATTATTCTTTATTTTGTCCTGTCCTGTCCTTTTCTCTCCCATCCCATCCCATCCCATCCAATTCTGTAAAAACGAAATATGCCAACCTGAATAATGTAATAATGGCTTAGAAGTACCCTAAGTAAGTACCCCTTTTGCAACCTGGTACAGTTATACCTCATAAGATATATTTACTGTACTCCTAGGGACTGAGCTCACAATTCATGTGTAAAGAAAATTCCCTAGTCTTTTAGATAGTGGTATAGAACAGGGATGGTGCTAATGTTTTACTTGTTGTTATTGTAGAACACCATGCTGAGAGTACAGAATAGTGATATACCTCCAGAATCAAAAGAACTGAGCAGTGTGGCTACACAGACTGAAGACTACGGCTGTGTTAATCACTGTACTTCAATGTATTTTGACAATGAAAGAGATATGGAAAATWGAGAAAGCAAAAGCCATGAAATAAAAGGAGTAAGCGATGATGTTACGATTGATGTAAATGAGCAGAACACATTGAATAACACTGATGTTGACGATAACCTTGATGAAGTTAGTGAAGACCTTGAGATGGATGAGTCATTAAGTACCATGAAAGGAATTAGGAAGGAACTTCTACCAAATATACAACCTCAGCAACAAAGGAATACTATCCTTTATGACTGCTCTTATTGCGATGCAGCATTTAAGTGGAAAAGTTATCTTGATCTTCATGTATTACGTATCCATACCAGTGAAAAACCATATGAATGTTCGTATTGTGATAAGGCATTTGCACAGAAAGGTGATTTCGGTCGTCATCTAGGAACACATACCGGTGAAAAGCCATTTGAATGTTCGTATTGTGGCAAGACATTTACAAAGAAAAGTAGTCTTACAGTTCATCAACGAACACATACCGGTGAAAAGCCATATGAATGTTCGTATTGTGACAAGGCATTTACACAGAAAGGTGCTCTTGATGGTCATCTACGAACACATACCGGTGAAAAGCCATTTAAATGTTCGGACTGTGGTAAGGTGTTTACTGAAAAAAGCAATCTTAAAACGCATCTACGAACGCATACCGGAGAAAAGCCATATACATGTTCGTATTGTGAGAAAGCATTTTCAAAGAAAGGTGATCTCGGTTGTCATCTACGAACACATACCGGTGAAAAGCCATATGAATGTTCGTATTGTCACAAGGCATTTTCACGGAAAAATAATCTTGGTCGTCATSTACGAACACATACTGAGTCATGTCCAATACTGCCTAACTAATTCGGATGATCAGTGTGGCTGACCTCTCCTAGCAGAGGTCATTTTTCTGCCCTCCGTTTTGGTTGTAGGTCGGGGGAGAAAAATACCAGCCAGCTGTTCAGGCTATTCACTCAGAAATAGTGACTTCAATATTCCTAGATTTGATAATGTGAGTTTTATAAAATAAATTAAATAGTACGCATGCTGTGATTGGTTGATAGCCATGTTTGCATGAGGGTATGTAAACACAGTTGTGACGTCACAACTTTCGTGTTTTCCCGGTACAAGTTCAAAAATTAAAAATTTACAGTTTCCTTCGAGGAAAAAAACGCCCCCAAAAAT